CATTGGTAAATTAGTCTAGCAGCCAGCTATCTAAACTTGTAGTAAGCATGGTCGAATTACCAACCGGGGTGGGGCCCATTGATCATCAGTTATCATATTAAAAACTGCCAACATTTGCCTCCACCCTATGGCAGAATGTGTAGAATCGCAGGAAATTAGTTATACAATTACAAAATATTCTCTCCGCCCCATGGCAAAATGTGTAGAATTGCAGGAAATGAACGTTAAAACTGAAATATATTATATTTGCCTTCATGAGGGGGGTCCGTTAAAATGTTTTGCTCGCAAGGTGTGGGGTGGGTATGTGGGTACACCTCATGATGAGTTCCGTTTTTTTGTGGCCCCCACCACCATCAAAGTTGCCCATCCCTGATGTAGGCTATCAATTGACAATTTAAAAAAAAACATAATAGCCCTTGATTCTCATAGCCTAGACCCAGCCCAAATGTCCGACAGATGGCGCCATTATTCATGACAACCGACGCAATTAATAATATATAGCGCCATCTGGCGGACATTCAGACTGAGCCTAGATCTAAAAGCACAAAAAATAGGTGATCAAATGTGTTTTAATTAGTAATAATAATCGTCAGCAAACATAAATACATACAAAATGAAGTTACACCCTCCTCCCCAATCCCAATCCAACCCCACCCGAGGACCTAAGGGATCAAATTAAATAAACATACATGGTTCAAAATAATACATGAAATAACAAAAATAACAAATCAAAGCAACATTGACGGATATAGAGTGAGTGTGGAGGCTTCCATCATACTGCAATCCTTTTTCACAAACAATGATTAAAAAATAATGACTACACCCACCAAATTCATAAATGTATTTCAGATCTGGGAAAAGTGTTAGGGTCTATGAATTTATTTCGGACTGGGTAAGATGTTATTTTTCCCTCAGGGCCAATTCCAATGAAGACTGCATTATTTACTAATCACCACACGGTGGCATTGCTGCAATATATTTCGATGACACCCATAATCAGTGTGGCGACACTTTTGTAATTTGGAGCTACAGGTGACCCTCAACCATGTGAAATCTAACGCCACTTTTAGCACAGGGGAAGACAGAAGTTTTTGAACTAAACACCTCAATGCGAGGTTGGGCTACTCCCAGTAAAATAGATAGGCCTACCTGTTCTGTAAATAGGTATACCGTTATTAGTGATGTGAGTGACATTTGGCCTCCAAAACCATAGGCTAGGCCAACATATCAAATTGATATCGAAACTCTTTCATTAGTTATTTGCTGAAGTAGTCTATAAAGCCAGGTAGGCCAACAACATAATTTGCTTCAGTGAAGAACATAGGGATTATAATTGAGGGATTATAGCTGCTGTGAAACAGTTATCCGGCTGCAGGTAGATGTAGGCTAATCCAATAACCGGTAACCTTCCAACACATTCTAACACAGGCCCTGCCAAAGGCTAGCGTCCTGTCCAGGGAGTGTACTTGTACATCAAGCTGCCTCACGCTACAGAAATTGAAACAGGAGATAGGCTCTTGCTCCTACGAGCCATTCCGGCTCACACAAGCCAAGGCCCGTGCAAGGCTACTTACTTACTACTTACTTTCTTACTACCGTACTTCCAACTCACCGAGCATTAATTTCCGGTAGATTCGTTGCAGAATGTGGGCACTAAACGGCGTCAAGTGGCCTCAAAGAAGAGGGAGATGATATGGCGTTCACTGTCGGGGTTCGAAGACACCGGGGTAAGTCATGGAGATGGGAAACAATATTTTCACGTCACTTCGATAACGAAGTCACTTTTTCGTAGCAGGTTAGGAGAATTTACGCAGCAGGTTACGAAAATTAACGGATCAAGTTAGGAGGTTAAGAGTGTGGCCCACATGGGGATAGTGTTTACGCAATTAATGTTGCCGAACGACCTCATGCGGACCTCCGGCACCATTAGAGAAAACAGCCAACAATACATATGTAAAGTGTAGGTCTAACGCACGAGCTAGCCTATGTTATAGGCATATAGGGCTATGCGTAAACCTGATGTTCTCTCCACGAGCGTGCGTTACTATATTAACTCTATTTGAGAAATGGCATAGATGTGTAAGATTTATGTCGCCCAAGGCCTATTTGGAGCGCCAGCTGTGTATAGTAATTTTTAATCGCCAGCTGTGTATAGTAATACTTTTTCGTTTTTTTTAAATTAAAAAGTATTGAGTTTATATTACTTTGAAGTTTTACAATGCTATAGCCTTTAGAAAACCAAGTGATAGAACGAGAGTGACAGAATGGTGAAATGTAACCTGTTAAATGTGAACTTTGAAAGGTGTGATGGTCTTCATGTCTGAAATAACCATGCAGGGATTTGAATTGTGTGATAGAGAGAAATAATACTTTTATTTTACATTTACATTTTAGTCATTTAGCAGACGCTCTTATCCAGAGCGACTTACAGGAGCAATTAGGGTTAAGTGCCTTGCTTAAGGGCACATCGACAGCTTTTTCACCTTAGGCTATAGCCTAAACACGAGCAATAGGTGATTCGTTTTGGGGTTATAGTAAAACATTTGTATCAAGCTCATAATCACATTTATTGTCAATTAGTGATTTATTTATCCAAAATCATGCATATTTCATAATCGTGTGTATGTGTCTGTGTATGTGTGCGTGTCTGTGTGTGTGGTGCGACCACCTGTGCGTGTGCATAATTTACTTTACCACAGGCCTCTGTGATTGCTCTGGGAAGTTATTGAGCCACAAATTGATTACCCTTAACCCTACACATGTTTAACATAGTTATTACATCGTTGTCACAGTAATGTTAGTCCCATGATTTATTAGTTAGACTTATTAGTTTGATTTATTAGGGTTAATTGTATGGTTATTAGGCTATGGATGGCCTATATTGGTTTGTTCGTTTCGAGACAGTCGCACTAGTTGGAAATGAAAGTCAGGTTGGTCAGTGGTGACTATGCCATTTTAATTAATTGGCATTGGCCGAACTCAGAAGCCGACTTATTTACAGCACCCATCCCTGTCAGACTATAGTAGAAGGCTATTATATAGTATAAATGCTGTCTTTAAACCGATTAGCATGGGATGCCAATCGTGCCCATGAGAGTGAACAGCGCCACTTTGCACAACTTGGACACAGGGTCCAAAATCACATCTTCGCTTCGTTCTTGAGAGGATGGTCACAGCTGTTTTCATGTTGCTTCAGTAGGCTAAACAAAAAACTTAAATACAAGGGATTTGTATGGACCACTGATCCAGGAAAGAATGAAGGCGTCTGTACTTTAGCCAGCTACGATCCATCATGTGCAACACCCGGATGTTCCATTTCAAGGATGTTTGTGGTAGGCAAAATCTCTGGGGTTCTGTGTACTTTATTAAATGTAGTAAAATATTTTTGTTTTTACGTTTAGGGTATTGTTACACTTCGAATTTTTTTCGATTGTGTTGGGTTTAAAACGTAGTTTCAATGTGGATAAGAGGATGCAAAAAGCAGAGGAACAGCCCGAAGGTAAATAAATCCATATGATGCTTTTGACTAATTTGTCTCTAGAGCGCTGCTCTGTTGGGAAGAAGCTTGTGCGCTCTTCAATGTGTCGGTGTTATCGCATGTGTCTCGTGTGATTTGGAGTCGGTGTTATCGCATGTGTCTCGTGTGATTTGGATTCGGTGTTATCGCATGTGTGTGACCTGGAGTCCTATGCTTTCCATTTGTTTTGTGCTGAGAGCATCTCAAATGTTCTTGTTTTTTATTAGCAGTAGACTTCACTGATGTCCCGGTAATATATTTGAAAAATCAGCTGTAGCCTAAACGTAGTCGTAAGAAAAGGTAGGTTTATTTGTGGATTCATTTGATGGAAGTTTGGACTATGATCATATGCATTCTAGTCTAGTTGAGTGGAAGCAGTGGAATTCTGCAGATTTAAGTAATTAAGTTGTATTTGTCAGTACATTTAATATTTTGTTATTTTGTTATTTTAATCTTTATCTTTACTCAGCATTGTTGGAAAGGGACCCGTAAGTAAGCATTTCACTGTTTAGTCTACAGCTGTTGTTTTGATTTGATTTAAAAATAATCGAGACTGACTCAGTTTTTCATCAACAGTTTGTGCACATGCATCCGCGATAGATGTGGGATCAATTAATTTTGTTGTTAGGAGTATGCATTACATTTAACAGTATGTGACAACAGAAATAATAGTTTTTTCCCCACATTATTTTCAATTTTTTTCTATCCTTTTCTTATTTATGTAGCATCCACATGGTGTACTGAGCAGCCTTCCCTTTTATCCTCAGCTTCCCCCCCCCTCCCCTCTGAAGAGCCTAGGATGTAATTGCTTTGATTACAGCTTGCCATTCTGATCAGCTCACCTCAAAATTCATGTTTGCCGATATAAAAATGATATTTTATGAAGAATTAGATACACCACTAACTAGGCATACATACTAAATTAAGCACGTTCGCTACACTTGTGGGCATTGTAATGTCTAACTTTGATCTGCATGAAAACAAATGGCGTTAAATGGTTTATTTCAATATTTATGTGTCGCATGGCGACTTGTTGGTAAATTGCATGGTTAGAGGAGGGTTCTGCAGGTTTGGAGCTCTGAAATGCACTGCATAGACAGATAGACTGGTGAGGTCACTGTCACTGAATGTCACACAGTTTGTATTGATGCCTCTCTCTCCCTTCCCCTCTCTTTCCCATGGTTCTCTCACCATTCTTTCCCCTCCCCTTCCCGTTACCCTCTCCCTTACTCTCTATATAATAATATAATATGCCATTTAGCAGACGCTTTTATCCAAAGCGACTTACAGTCATGCGTGCATACATTTTTTTTGTGTGTATGGGTGGTCCCGGGGATCGAACCCACTACCTTGGCGTTACAAGCGCCATGCTCTCTACCAGCTGAGCTACAGAGGACCTACCTCTCTGGCTTGCACCTTTCTCTGCTCCCCCCCCCCCCCCCCTCACTCTCTCACTCTCCCCCTTATTTTTCTCTCCTCAGGGGCACAGTATGCCAGCAGCACCAGAGCCCCTCCCTCTGGTGATACGCCGGCCCTCTGGTCAGAAAACCCCTCTCAGCCTGAGCCCCGCCCCCAGACCGGCACTATCTCCTGGCAGGCCGCGATCCATGCTGCTCGTAACTCCCAGGGCAACGTCTCCCAGAGCATGAGCGCCCGCACCTCTGTCCCTGGGGCCACGCCTGCACCGGTAGGCTCATTGTCACAGAGGAAGAGGCAACAGTACGCCAAGAGCAAGAAGCAGGGCGGCTCCACCAACAGCAGGCCGCCCAGGGCCCTGTTCTGCCTCACCCTCAACAACCCCATCCGCAGAGCCTGCATCAGCCTGGTGGAGTGGAAGTATCCTTTCTGGGGCTCTCAGTGGAGATATACAGGGACTCTCTGTGTCCCAACATGGAAAACACCTGTTTTGATGTTGGTCTATTAGTTTACAGGCGAAAGCAGTTCAAAACAGTCATTAGGGCAAGTGTCCCGCCCCCTTCCAAGCAACAAACAATCAAACATTCAGTAACAAAATAATTTATCTTGCAGTCTCCATATTGAGTTTTTTCTCTTCTTCAGCTGAAAACCCTCTATCAGACCAGACCCCAGTTGGAAACAGTCTAAAGCGTTCATTTGAGTTTAGTTCTGAATGCATCCATCACAGAAAGTATCCAGTGTGTTTCTAAAGATGATGCATTAATACAACCCTAGATAAGGAATAATTCCTCTAGCATATATCAAAATGGAAATGTTGCTGTATTTTAAAATGTTTGCTTTGATCATTGTTCATTTTACTTCATAAGATCCTACCTTTAAATGACTGCAATGTGCTCTCTCTGTTTATGCTCATGTATTGACTGTGTGCTTTGAACATTGTTCCTTAACTGTGTGCCTCAGACCCTTTGATATCTTTATATTGCTCTCTATTTTTGCCAACTGTGTGGCCTTAGCTGTTTATATCCCCTTCCCCGAGGACGACTCCAACTCCACCAACCATGACCTGGTGAGTAGTCTATTCTATTCTACAGTATAGCTGGGCTTCAGGAAGTGAAAATTGTCTATTGTATTTCTGTGAGGATATTTCTATTGAATACTGAATTGACCATGGCATGGATGGATTATGTTACACATTCATCAGAGTACTTCTGCAGAATCAGGGTACATTCAGGAATTGCACTGTTTTGTGGCTGAAACGTGTTGGTTCTACTTTTAACAATAAATAAGCTTTTTCATTTAATTCCATTGTCCTCCAAGAGTTGCTGAATCTCTTCTCTACCTTTGTACACTCTATGGCGTCGGGTTTCCCGTCATTATTTGGTGATGTATCATGTTTTTTTGTTGACATAAACAGAATGCTACGCTAGTCTGTTCTGGAGGTCATCTGTCCTGTGTGTCACACACAGTCTCTTCCACACACAGTAGTGAGGGCTTGGAGATGACAAAACCCTGGTAGTTTGTTTATGGGGCTGATATAATCATACACACAGACCGTATGTGCAGTGCAGCTGCAGCATAACAGCAATGAGTAATTTAAAATGATGAAATAGAATCATTTACAATGAGCAGTTATAGTTAGAATAAAAAATATAGTTCTATGACCAGTTATATGTCAATCAGCAATCTTTAACAGTGACCAGAAAACAGATGATAATTAACTATATGTAACAGGTGCTTGTCAAAGATTTTCAATTCAATTCCATTTTGACACACAGAGCTGTATACTTGTGTGATAGATTGACCATCTATCTCAGTTCTATTCCATCTCCCAGCATGCATATTCAATGGCATGCCAGTCTCTAGAAATAAACTACAAATCAATTTGAACGTCAGGCCTCTAACTGTTAGAATGTGAAAAGTTGTCCGTCCTCTTTAGATTATTTATACTGGAAGACACATGCCTATGATCCCTAAACAGATGGAGGAAACAGAGTATTAACGCTCCCCAAGTCTCTGGTCAGCAGCATCTCATGTCCAAACTTTATTTGATGGAGGTTTTCACTATTCAGAAAGTTCTTGTCAGAATAAACACATTTTACAATAGCAGGAAGGAAATCATATCATTTATTTATGTTGTAAATTGCTGGTGGTATAAGTTTGTTTTGAACACATTTTAAGAGAGAAATCTACAGCGTCATTTTCCCCATCCACCCCCTCTTGTTTCTTGTGTATGACTTGTATAGAAGCAGTAGGCAGTATTGTGTCGACAGTGGAAGACATTATAGGAATGCTGCTGTTTCCTGTTTTGTTGTCTACTGGCCAAGGTCACTGATTCCTCCATCATGGTTATTATTGAAGTGAAAGCTAGAGTGAACTGAGTCACTGATTGGTTTTCCTTTAGGACAGTAGTTTGTATTATTTGAGGAGCATTTGACCTATCAACATCTGAGGATTCCTACTGTGAAACCGTAGAGATTCAGGTGATTGGGACATGTTAACTTCCTGTCTTCATTAAAGCAGATAGTTGATAGTATCTAAAGTCTTTCTGGGAAATGTGGTTTTAGATTTCTTTGAACTCCTGTTGTGTGAGTTGGCATGAGTTAACTACTTTCCAGTGTCTTTGCACAAACAACAAACAGGCGCACGCGCACACACACACAGACAGTTGCATCAAGACAGAGGAGCCTGCGTCATCTGACCTCTATGTGTCTGCTCTCACAATAGCATTCCTGAAGAGGGAGGGGCGTGTCTGTGTGTGCTTGATATGCTAGCATGAATTAAACCTAAACCAACAGGTGTGTGTGTCTGTGAAAGGTCCTAATGAATAGAAACCTTGAAAACACTCCCTCTCTTAAGGGGTAATAGACATTTGAACACTGCAATGGATCAGTAGAAGTTCAGATCTGGAGCATGAATGAGTGTGTGTGTCTTAAGGAGGATTGAGTGTCCTGCTGTGTGATGGTCACTTAGGGCTTGAGACCTTCTCCCTCTCAGTGTGTATCATTGAGCATGGCTACTCACGCCAGTGTGGCTCTTTATCTGGTGTGTCAGTATCTGTGGGAATATCCTAGTTTGAGTGTGCAAGTAACTAGGAATATCCTAGTTTGAGTGTGTGTGTGTGTGTGTGTGTGCGTGCACACGCGTGTGTCTCTGTGAGTGTGTGTGTGGCCAGGTTTGGAGGATTAAGCTGTGCTGTGGATTAGTGGCCAGTAGATGAGTGGAGGTTGTGCAGGGAGAGAGGGAGGGAGAGAGAGAGAGAGGAGAGAGAGAGAGGAGGGAAGGGAAAGGGAGAGAGGGAGGGAGAGAGAGAGAGAGGGAGAGGGAAAGGGGAGAGGGGAGGGAGGGAGAGGGAGAGGGGAGGGGTGCGAGGGAGAGGGGAGAGGGGGAGAGGGAGAGGGGAAGCGGGAGAGGAGAAAGAGAACGGAGAGAGAGAGAGAGGGTTTCTTTCTACCCTTCAGAGGGGAGATGGAAGGAGAGGGGAAGGAGAGAATGAGAGGGAGAGGGTGAGGAGGGAGGGAGAGGGGGCAGGGTCTAGGCCACGTGTGGGAGGTGGGTCTATGGAATGAAGGAGTGTTTAACAGTGGATAATGTGACTGTCTCTGTTTGGGTCTGACCCATGCTGTGGCTCTGGCTGTGGCTGGGATGATGATTAGGATCATATTGAGCTTGGCTATGATTTGGTGGGTACTTATACTTATGACATCTCCTTTGACCACTACCATACTGCATGGCCAATTCATCTAATTCATAATCCAATGAGCGAGCCGTCACATTGGTCTCCATTGGCAACAGGAGCCAACAGTTACAGCATAAACAAACAGTTCAATAACACTGGATAGACAATCCAAATAAAAACATTAAGGGCTGATGTTTACTGTCCTTTGTGTTACTCTGTGTTTGGTGATTTTATTCCCCAGATAAACTTTCATGTATCTGTTGTAGAGAGACATTGTTTATGGGTGGTTTATTTGATTCTGTGTCATCAAGGTCTCAGTTTGCATGGAATAGGATGGCTGAATTGTTTTAATCTGTCCAATCACCAAATATTCAGACAGTAAAATAGTTGGGATCTAAGATAGAGCTTTTTTTAATGATATTGTTGCTAAATGAGTTTTAAGAGGTTTTCAGCTGAATTCCCATTCTGAGCCTAACAGACATTTTCTTGGAGAAAAAGGCATAAAGTCATGCTAGTGTTTTTAATATTGTCCTGTCTTAGTGGGTGAATGTGCCCTCACTGTATTTAGAACATATTCAGCGGCTTGAGGATCAAGACCATGTTTTATGTGTGTATATGTGTGTGTGTATGTGTGTGTGTGTATGTGTGTGTGTGTATGTGTGTGTTTATGCTGCCTACAATATGTGTGTTTGCGTATAATATGTGTGTGTTACACACACACACACACACACACAATACATTTTGTCAACACAGAATGATGTTTGGTGAATATGTCATGTATATGTGTGTATGTGTGTGTGTTTTGTGTGTCTTATTCCCAAAGAAAATGTCAGGTTGCGTCTTACTCTCTGTTAGGGATGAAAGGTTTTCCAGAAAGGAGAGGAAATTAGACTCAGGCTAAACAGCATGCAGGCCGTGTGTGTGTTTGTGAGAGAGAGTGAGATAGAGATAGAGGCAGACCTTTGGTGAATGTGTTAAGAGGATTTCTTTATTTCTTTATTCCACTGTAAGACTCTATCCCTGTCTCACTGTTGATTTCTTTCTCTTGAAGTCTGACATTTTGACTACCTACTAAACAATTTAGTACTAGGTTGTAAAATCGATCTAATTTGAAAAATTGAAATGTTGGCTGAGATACAGTGGCCAGCTTGTGTACGAACAGTACTTCTCCAGGATGGTGAGTTCTATTATTTTGGTGTAGTTCCCACTTTCCACTGTTTGGGTTGTGTTACTCAAATCAAATCAAAGTTTATTTGTCAAATGCACAGGTTACAGAATAGTATACTCAGTACAATGAAATGCTCCTCTCAACAGTGCAACAGTTACAAAAAACGTACAGTACAGTTGAGTGCATGGTTATAATGCTACTCTGTGGGTTTAAGAACACAGGTGTGAAAGCTATGATCCCTTATTGATGTCACCTGTTACATCCACTTCAATCAGTGTAGATGAAGGGGAGGAGACAGGTTAAAGAAGGATTTTTAAGCCTTGAGATAATTGAAACATGGATTGAGTATGTGTGCCATTCAGAGGGTGAATAGGCAAGACAAAATATTTAAATGCCTTTGAACAGGGTATGGTAGTGGGTGCCAGGCGCACCGGTTTGAGTGTGTCAAGCATTGGAGTCAACATGGGCCAGCATCCCTGAGGAACGCTTTCGACACCTTGTAGAGTCCATGTTCACTATAACAGCACAGTACAGTTTCAACCGGGGCTGGGGAGGGCGGCAGTGCTGAGAGCAGATATCCATTGATCGTATCGGGCTCGCAGAGCTGTGTGGTGCGTGGCAGGGTATGAGGCCGAGCGAGGCGCTGCGCCCCAGGCAGCATTATTATAGCTTCATTTCAGCTCGCGCCTCATTACAAACAGGAAGTGCTCTGCTGTCCTCGGGGGGAGCTGGCCACTTCGAGACCAACAGACTGAGCCTGGATACTGGGCTGTCAAATTAGATACACACACGTAGTACACGTGCACCATGCGGACACACACACGTACGTGCAAATCCTAAATCTTAAGCACACATGCACGTACATACACTTTGACACTATATTAATAGTTTAGGGAATGCTATAAACTTACCCTCACGCCAGAGGAAAACACTGTTCTCAGGCCCCTCACAAGATAACTTAAATGTTACCACAGCAGAGTGTGTGGGCATGGGGTGTGGGGAGGCGTCTTACAGCAGCCTGGTCAGGTCTCATTGTCAGTCAGAGACATAAACGGCAACAACAAAATGAAAACAACACACTGTACAAAACAACACAACACAACACAAAGACAGCCTCTCTCTTGCCCAGGGCTGTGGAGAACAGAAGCAAATGTTTGCATGCAGAACTTGTTTACATTATCATTCATTTAAACTTAATGGTGTGAGAATGTTCTCCTTTTTCCAGTGTGGCTTTTGACATTAAGTAATTACA